GGGAGATGGCCAGGTTGGCCACCTGCTGTGAAAGGTCATTGGCCTCCTCAGCCTCCTCGTAGAGGGTCTTGGCGTAACGGACAAGGAAGGGCAGCAGCTGGCACACCTCCTTCCGCAGGGATGAAGTCTCCTCAGCCAGCCAGGCGCCCAGGATCCGAACCGAGGCAAACACAAAGGGCTCCTTCTGCTTCTCTGGCCCCACCTGTTGCCACAGGACCCCACTGAGATGAAGCAGACCAGAGACACCCCCTTCACTATCCTACCAGCCAGCCTTAGAATGAGACAATTAGAAGGAAATTCTGTCCTATAAGCCCTTCAAACCTGGTTACTAAGCCTTATTCTACCCCATGTGCCCAGACTTCGCATATAGGAAGGACACACCCACGAAAGCAGGCCCTCTTTGCAGGTCTGCAGAACGAACCGGATCTCAGACAATGTGCCTCATACTTGCTGACATTCCATTTGCATTATTCTCTCTCCACCTCATTAGGGGGAAACTTAGATCTAGAGCTAAGTAGCATTCTACTACTGGGGTGGGAGAATCTGCATACCCCAATAGTGGGAGAAGGTGCCTCTCTTTGGGCTAAAGCAGAAAACAAGATGAGAGCTTAGCATGGTTTGCTGGATATATGGCTGGTGGGTTCAGTGGCAGCAGAGTCATGACTGAATCTCTGTGGACAGAAGAGTGGGCTTCTTAGACAGAGAGGGAGGATGAGCAAGTAGGTGCAGACAGATTTCGTAGACCCTTTCCAGAGGTTCCTGTTCTTTCTCCCTTGACCACAAGTTTGTAAGCGTGTATATGTAAAACAGTGCAACAGAGTGAGCGGAGCAGACTGCTTCAATTTTGTGTGTGGTGTGTAGCGTGTGTGTACCGAGGAGCATTGTATGTGTGGGAGGTTACTGTGTTCTGTGTGTGTGTGTGCTGTGATGTGAGTGCACATATGGCGTGTGGTAGGTGCCTGTGTGGAGGCTCACAGAGAGAGGGAGAGGGAGGGACGCTTGGCCACACACTACTCCCAGAGTGCGTGCTGCAGTACCAGCTGCGCGTGCATGCGGCATTCACCCCTTTCCTTTACCTTCGGGCTCTGGAGACTGCATTAGGGAAGGACCCCAAAGCAGTACACTTTCTGTGGGGCACTGTGCCCTTACCTGCTGCAGGTAGTGGATGACAGCTCCAATGGCCTCCTTCATGATGCTCACGAGCTGCACCTTCTGTGGCTCTTTAAGCAATGACTGCTCACAGCGGGTACACTCCTGGATCCCCAGCTCCATAAGGGCATAGCAGGCAGTCACCACATCCTCTTTCACCTCTGTGCCTGTCTCCTCCAGGGCCAGCCGTACCTCTACGCATGCCAGGTTCACCAGGAGGGCCAGGAACTTGCTCCCGGAGTTGCCCGCTGGGATCCAGTCAGAGCCACAGGCGTGAGCCAGGCGGGCTGCCAGCTTCAGTGCTGGGTTGCGCTGCCAGGAGCTCAGCTTGCTTCCCAGGATGCGTGCCAGCCCAGCCTGCAGATCCCGGAGGCATTCAGGGGGCACGGTTGTTGGGGGCAGAAAGAGGGGCAGCAGCTGGCAGAGCTCAAACTTGCTGGCATCCTCAGCTTTCTGGAAATCCTCACTGAGGCCCCGCAACACAGCCAGCAAGTCAGGCTCCGCCTCCTTCCAGCACTGGGACTCCGCAGCAGCCAGCAGCCCCACCAGGAGCGCCAGGGCCTGGTCAAAGCCATAGCCATGCCCCAGGTACGCCTGACACAGGGCAGACACAGTGCCACCAGCAATGAGATGCCGGGGCCCTCGGGGTGTGCCTGCTACAGCTGTCAGGCACTGGTAGGTGTCATCAATCATGGAACGGCGGGCGGCATCATCGGGGTCCCCCCGGGCTGTGAGAAAAGTGCTAAGGATGGGAATCTTGTTCAGGACCTGAGGATGGGTGGCCAGTTCAGGGTCACTGCAGAAACAGGCTAGCAGGGCCACACCTAAGGCCCGCAGAACGTGGTCAGGGCAGCCATCAGGTGCCTCTTTTGAGGTCAGAAGACGATTCGGAAAGGTGAAGCCCACGGCATCAAAGATCCGCCGCCGTGTCTTGGCATCGATGTCACCTGCTTTGACTGCCTTGGTCACCTACAGGGGATACACGCTATCAGCAGGGTGAAAGAAAGGTAAAAAGTCCCACTGTCCCTGCCTTGCACCCTGGGGCACTGAGGACCAACAGGATTAGGTTATGCAACAGGACTCACTCCAGGGTCATTCCATCCAGCTCCTGTCTCCTTGGAGACAGACAGGTGTGATCTCTGCATTCCTCCCATCTATGATTATTTTTCCTCAACTACTCATTTGGGCAGTTCCTCACCTGGCCAGTTGAAAAGTTCTTCCTGATGTCTAATCTAGATGCCCAAAAACTAGTTACAAGGCGCTTAGAACTCAAGTTTAAAATCCCCCAGGATTTGGGGTCCTTCCCTAATTGCGGTCTCCAGAGAAGTGTCTGATCCATTTCCGCCACCTTCTCAGGGGAAATGGCTCCTGTGTCTCCACTCTGTGTGTCAAAACATTTCCCCTTACATTTCACCTAAACACCTCCTCTGCTGCAGTGTGAGCCCTTGACTCCAGAGCCTTCTCCCTGTTGCCATGGCAAACAAGCAGCGGCTGTGCTCCCTCCTCCCTTCACCCCCCACACACCAACCCCCCCTTAGCACTGCAGCTCCTACTCTGCTGTCCCCAGCCTGGGTCCTCCAACAGGGCTAAGACCTGAACCACCTTCCGTACCTTCAGCCTACCTAGCTGTCCCATAGGACCCCCCTTCAGTCACTTCTAGTCTTTTAATTCTCTCAGATTCCAGAAAAATCATCCCCAGCCGTCAAGTACTCTGCACTAGTTACTACCTGCTGCTGTTATCCTATGAGTCAGCGCCCATCTGCTCTGGGACGCCCCAGAAAGCAAATGCAGGCAGCTTTCTCCATAGCCCCCAGTGCCATAGCCTATTCACCCCCATACTCATTTGCCCCAGTTCTCAGGGTAGCAACACAAAAAGTCTAAAGGCAGCAATTTTGAGCCTTCTTGGGCAGCTGCAGGGTTGTCAGCACCATCTATATATCCTCAGGGACTCACTGACCCCATTTGTTGGGGGTCTGACCACCCAGCCCTTCCACCTCCCAATTATCAGCAAGTTCCTTACTAGCAGCAGGGCTGCAAACTGCTCGCTGTCGTTCTTGGCCTCACGGAGGGCTCCGAGGTAGCGCTCCAGGGTGGGGTTTCGGCCCTCTGCCTGGTTCAGAGCTGGCTCGCAATCCGAGGCCATGATGCTCGCCTTGCCCAACTGTGAACAGAAGAGGGACTGAGCATCCCTCTGCAGAGGAGGGACAGTGGGGGGGCGGGGGTGGGAGTGGAGGATGCAAGGTGGGAGGGATTAGCACAGAGGGAGGGGAAGAAGGATTTGGAGGGGTGGCTTCCTCCAGACTGACCTCTCTTAGGGGAGCCCCTTTAAGAGGCTGGACCTGCATATCCTAAGGATGAAGGGACCCTGGCCCAAGGTCACCTCCAGAAAGTGGGAGAGGAGGACCATGCATACTGCTGCTCAGCTGGACAGCTCTCCTCACCAACCTTCTGGGGGTAGGAGTGAGCAGCAGCTCCCAGTACCAGAGGTCGGGTTTTCTCTTTCTAGGAGGCACATTGGGAGTGAGTGATGAGGACAGACAGAAGAATGGAGACATACATGAGTGAAGTTCGATTATCCGGACTTGGGCTGACATGGGGAAAAGGACAGTCCAGGCTACTTTCCACTCCCTTCTTCAGACGCAGGAGATACGCTTCAGTAAAAGTGAGAATACAAACTTACCAGGGAAAGCTTGGAGACCTCTTTGGAGACCCCACCCCTCCAGCCAGGGCTCTCCATCGCCCCCGCAGGCTCCTAGCCTTCTCTCCCATCCCTCCCTCGGGCAGACAGAGCCTGCAGGAGCAGGAGCAGCAGAGGCAGCGGCAAAAGCAGTGGCAGCAGAATTAACCCCTTCAGCTCCCTGTCTTTGCCCTCCCCGTCCCGCTATCAGCCTGTGAATACCAACAGGGGCTAGATCAGCAAGAGGGGTCGGATAGCTCCTGGGACAAGAGAGAATCCAAAAGCCGGATAATCGAAGCGGGCCTTCTGAGATGGGGGGGGGGTTCCTTGCGGTCAGCACCTGTCCCGCCGCAGCCAGATCACAACACGACATTGATGAAGTCACGACAGGGCGGCGATGAGATCACACTTCACGATGGCGCGCGATTATGTCACGGAGAGCTCACGGCAAAATCACGACATGGAGGGGGGTGGAGAGCCCCCATAGATGACAGCGCAAATTTTTGAGAAAAAGATATATACTGAAAAGGGCTGTGACAAAATGGAGTCCGGACAGGGCACAATGATGTCGCGATATGGCACGATGAAGTCGCGATAGGGTCCCCGGGTTGTGTCTGTATCGATCTGCGCCGGCTCTGAGAGGCTCCGGCTGGGATGCAGGGGAAGGCTTGAAGGGGGCTGAGCTCACCAGGCTGCGGCCCCGAGCGGCGAAGTCTTCTCAGGGCGCGATGCTCCAGGAGCCTGGGGCCGCTGCTCACGCCGCGTTGCCCACTCCTGGCTCCAGGCTGCTGCAGCTACACCCCCACCCCCGCATAGCTCTAAACCAATCCGCCGCAACCTCACTCCGGGATCTGGCCAATGGCACTACAGGGAGCTAAGCCGTAGGGGGTGTCGCCATTACCGCCATCTTCCTTATGGGCATTGCCCGAGTCTGGGGCCTGGGGCTCGTGCAAAGAAAGCAAGGTTGCATACTGTCCCTAGAGAGCAGGAGGCGGGAGGCTAGGGCCCAGACTCCTTGGATGTGTGCGTAGTTCCACCTCCAGTGCTGCCCCTCCTCCCCCTCGGGCTCGCGGCTGGAAATGCGCTTCCGGAGGGTGGGGGCGGGAGAGCTTGATTAGCACTAGGAGTGTGTTTCCGGGTTGAGCTCCAGGAGGTGGGAGGAGGCGGTGTTTCCGGTCGCTGTCGCTGTCCAGGGAGACTGAGGCGAGAGGGAGCTGTCCGGGTGGGGAGCCCGCATTACCTTCTTTCTTTTCCTCCTTCTCCTCCGGGTGAGGGGAGAGAAAGTTGGGGCCCCCAAGCCCATGGATCGGGAGGAGGCGGAGGCCGCCGAGAGCCAGGGTCCCGCTGTGTGGCCCTGAGCCCCGGTAGGTGGCCGGGCGGCTGGCTGCCAGGCCGAGAACCATGAGCTCAGGGGAGGGGCAGGCGGGAGGGCAATGTATAGGGGTGCGCCCGCTGGGTGTTGGGACCCAGAGGTGGCGCTCCTGCCCCGGCCAGGGGAGTGATTTGCTTCCGGCTTTACAGGTGCGAAGCTCGAGACCCAGGTTAACTCTTGCTATTTTGAGGCCCAGGTCTGGTCATTCAGGTCTCTCCATCCCCTGATAGTCAGATTGACAGGGATGGGGGCGCTGCAACGCTTCTAACAGACTAGAGACCTCAGCACCCTCGCCCTAAACTGCTGTCTCCCGTGTTTAATCTCCTTAACAAGACAGAAAGTTGGTGCACAATAAGAATGGGCGGGGTTCAGCACGATGTGTAAATTACGACAGGAAACCTGCCTCATTCCAGACTTTGAAAGTTTTGTCCCCTTCTCAAAGGGTCTTGTAGTGGCTGCATTGAGCACAAAGATGAAGTGAAAGAGGTCCTCACTGGGAGCCTTTGCCTGCTGTCACCTCATAGTGTCTGTGCCCAACTGACAATAGATGTTAATGAAGAGCATTAGCCGAGTCTCCCACTGTAAAGTCTCTGTTAATCCCTTTCTTGTGATTAACAGACTGGAAACTAGGAACAAATTGAAGAGACGACCTCCCAGAACAATCTGTTCATTTTTCTAGCTATTTGGAAAACAGTGTCTACAAATATAAGCAAAGCTATTCATGGCAGTCTGTTCTGTAACTTTCCCAAATATCTGAGACTTTTTTTTTTTAAAGCGTTACTCTTGATTACTCACACCCGCTGAATAGGCTGTTTCAGACGTGCTCTGTCGTTATTCAAACATATCTTATCGCTGTGTACATAAATGGAGTTCCACGTATGTAGATGACAGACTGAAGTATGATACATCCCCCATCAACCTGAAGTATTAAGTAAACATTACCCCCTGCTCTGTCTGAACAGCTGCTGCAACAGAGAGTGCTTTTATTTCGTGTGTACTTGTAACGCCTTAAATGCCAGAACTATTGAGAGCTTTTCTAGATTTTTATTTGTCAAGTATTGTGGGGGTGTGTGTTCTTTCCCTAAGTTGTTATCCTTTGATTCGGTAACAAATCATTTGGTTCTTGGTGATGTGTTGTTCCCGCCTCTGGTCAGTAAGTCTTTAACTGGACCCTAGCAGTGATTTGTGCCTGTAGGCAATTGTAGGTTTTAGCAGAATGAGTGGTTGGGAGTGCAAATGAAATTAGCTCTGCCTCTCTTATGCACGGTTTGTAAGACATTGCACTTCTAATCAGCCTGCTGGTCCAATGGTGTTTATTACTCCTGTTTTCAAAGCCTATTCATTTCCTTTTTTGCTTTTCCCACCCACCTGCCAGGCTGTTGATGACAGGTGTTGAATCACTTTGAGTTTTAAAACCTTTGTGGTAGGCAGAAATGTGTTGGGTAAGAATCCACACACATCTGCACACACACACATACTCTCACCCATTTCATCTTGGGAAAGTAGAAAAGTTGCTGGATATACTTTCTCAAACTTAACCTCCATTTCATAATCTCTTTCATAATCTCACATGTCTTGGCCACATACCTCTTTCCTGTCCCCTGCTCCCTAATATGCGACTACAAAACAAAAAGTAGGACTGGATTGAATTGAGGGAGAATGATGAAGACCTGTAGATACAGCTCAGTGAAAGCCTTTTCTTAGGTAGGCTGCATCTCAGTTTTGCAGTGGTGTATGTATGTGTGTCTTGGCATTAGCAGTGAAATACTATCCAGGTAATGCTGATTTCCCTGTATTCTGGCTGAGGGTGAGGGGTTGTCAGCAAATGTTATTTGCCAGAGGTGAATTATAGTTGCATATTTAGGACACAAGATTTTTATTCCTCCTCTTGTCCTTTCCCTTTTTCCTTTCTGTCTTTGTCTTTCTCTCCATTTTCTTAAAAAGACAGAATCTTGGAATTTTGCCTAGGCTGGCCTTGAACTCCTGGACTCAAATGATCTTCCTGCTTCAGCTTGTCAGGTGGCTGAGACTACAGGTGCACACCTCTCCATGCAACCAACAGATGTTTGAGTTGTTTCTTTAGAGCTCCTGTCAACTGTCATAATATTGCCAAGACTTTTATGATAACTTATACAGTATATAAAGTTGTATGAGAAAGAGGAAACTTCTGGAAATAACAGATTTTTTTTTCCCCCGCTGCTGAAGGGAACTGAATTAAGCAACCCCTGATTCTAGAATAGCCAGCACAGTGGCTGATCCAAATATTTGCTGAATGCGTGTGTGAATTTAAGCCAGGAATTGTAAATGACTCTTAGGGATCAGCAGGATAACACTGAAGTGAATTTGATAGTTTTTTAAAAATAATAGTGGTGGGAGTAGTAGCAGTCTGGAGAGTTGATGTCCTACCTAAATATAATCACATTAGAAAGTTTTTACAACATCCTCAGGTTAGTTTAGCTAACAAGTCCAGTCCTTTCATAGATAAGAAAGTGTATTTATTCAAAGTCACAAAGCTGTTAGCAGAACTGGAACTGAAAAATCATTGCTTTTTTTCAGGCTGGTGCGCTTTCCTTTCTGCCACGTAGATGATTTGTTAGACCATAATGGAGCATAAAATGTTTCAGCTTTACAGTGGATTCATTTTATATCCTTTGCTATGTTGTTATCTTGATAATTATAGACTATGTCAAAGCTCAGGTTTCAGATTTACTGGCAGGGATGAGCACTAAAAGACAAACTTGAAATTTCTCTTTCTCTAATCTGTCACATTTGCTAGCATCCCACATTTCCAGGAATCAATTATTAATTACTTGGCATTGAATTTCTTCTCTTTCTTTCTAGTGTATTGGGTCCAGCTGTCTGGAAGGCCATGGAGAAGAGGCTGGGCGTCAAGCCAAGTCCTGCTTCCTGGATTTTATCAGGATATTGTTGGCAGACATCTGTGACGTGCTTGAGAAGCCTGTACCTGTTTTATACTTGCTTCTGCTTTGGTGCTCTGTGGTTATCAACAGGTACCATTTTGCTTATAGATTTACGATTTCAAAAGGGTACTCTATAAATACCTCAGTTCGCTTTAAAACCTATTAAGAGAAAAACAGCGATCTGCTATTGACAGAAACTGTCGGACTTTTGGTGGGTATTTGTTTTAAGGAATTGGCGATTAAACCCAGGGCCTTATACATGCTGGCAAATGCTCTATCACTGAGCTACACTTCCAGCCTTGTTTATTTTTTAAGACAGGGTCTCACTAAGTTACCCAGGCTAGGCTGGAACTTGTGATTCTCCTGCCTCAATCTCTCAAGTATCTGGGATTATAGGTATGTACTACTCTGCCTGGTTTGGTGGGTTCATTTGGTATTTTTGTTTGTTTGCTTTGGAATCAAAGTTTAAATTGGATTTTTACCCTAAGGGAACACTGATATAATCATTTCAAAATTTGATAAAGATGTATTAAAAGTGAAAAGTTTTCAAAGTTAGATAGATCTGGGTTCTAAAGCTAAATGTTTCTACTTAATGATTAGGATCTTGGGCATGTTGGTTACCTAATGTCTTTGAGGAAGTATAAGATTTATATCATTCCTTGTTTTTTGGAGACAGGGTCTGGCTATGTACCTTGCTCTCATCAGGTAGCCTGTGCTGGCCTTGAATTCATGGTGTTAGGATTACAAGTGTGTATCACTGTGCCCAGCTAAGATTGGTCTCATACCCTGTGGTACCATTCAGCACTCTGAAGGTGTATGTTAAGTGGATGATACTTTGCTTCCTTCTCTAGAAAAATGTATACTGACGAGTATGCTTTTTTCAGAGAAAGGGGTTGTTGATAGATTTCATACAGTATGCTTTGTTCTTTGAGATTATGTTCTCTAGAACCTTTTATCAGTGAAAAGCTACATTTCAAAGGAGGACACCCTGTCTTTTTTTTCCTTTCAGTTTTTTTGTTAACGTGGTTCCTTTCATAGTATGGACTAAAGAAAACAACGATTTCAGAATTCTGAGTATTCTGCTATTGTAGGCAGTGACCAAAAGTCTTCGGCAGTAGACACTGCTTGCTGTTGATGATAACTAATCAGCCTTTTGCTTTTCAAATTATAAAGATTTCTGTTGCTTTCTTACAGTAAGTGGCATTCATGATCTTGAGAGCCAAGTAAGTAGTATAGTTAGCAATTTTAGTAACATTAGCTTTGGAGTTTTTCTTATCTTGCATTGGTGGTTGATGATTGCATAATTATGAAAGTAGAAATTACAGTTGAAAGAAAGTTGACCTAAATGTTTTTACTCCAGATGATACTTTGTTGGCTATTTCCTGGCAACATTTTGTGTGGGATCACTTGAATTAAATAAGTAAGTGGTTTTAGCACCATCAAATTAGCACAATCACATTATGTGTGTGTGTGTGGTACTCAGAATTGAACTCAGAGCTTTGCATATGCTAAGCAGGTATTCTATCACTGAACTACAGACTGAACCTTTTTAAAGATTTTTACTTTGAAAAAAAGGATTTCACTTTGAGGCAGGATCTCACTAAATTGCTCAGGCTGGCCTCAAATTTATAATCCTTTTGCCTCAGCCTCCTGAGAATCTGGGATTGCAGACTTGAACCTTCAGACTCTTGATTATGTAAGCATTACATACTTTATCTCATTTAATCCTCATGATAGCATTAGAACAGTTTTATTCTTACTTCATAGATAAGGAAAGTGAGTCTCAGAAAGGCAAAATGACTTGATCCAGGTCACACAACAAGAACATGACAGGACCAGGATCCTAACTCCAGTTTGTCCCCTCTAGACATCAGGCTCTTACTTTTCTGCTATACTGCCTTCCAGACATAGGTCATCTTTTGGAGGCCCAAAGAGTTTTGCTTTATTTTTTTTTTAATTAACTGAGGATGGTGATAAGTTGCTTGTTTTTTGAGGAATTCAAAGTACAGGGGAGAAAAAAGCTTTCTGAGTCTTTCTGTGTTTTCATCTGTACTTGGTGAAGCACAGCACTGGGGGCTCATTTAGCAAGTGTTTAATACCCCTTAAGCTTGGTGCTTAAAAACAGTAACCCAGTCAAGATGGTGTTAGGAGTGGTTACAGTGGGACTTAGGGTGTTTCAATTCCATTTTAGAGAAATTTGGAGAGTTTTAAAAATTTATTTGTTCGTTTGTTGTCTTGGGGATTGAATTCAGGCCCTCACACTGAGTTACATCTCTAGCCCTACATCCTATATCTGTGTGTTTTTTTTTAGAGTCAGGGTGTCACTAAATTGCCCTGGCTGGGCCTGATACTGTCATCCTCCTGTTTTAGCCTACTAGAGTGCTAGGATTATAGACTTAAGCTACTGTGCCTGGTTTGATTTTGTTTTTCTTTATAACTGAATAATACCGCATTGTGTATATACACCACATTTTCTTTATCCATTCATCTGCCGATGGGCACCTTGGCTGTTTTCAGAGCTTAGCTTTTGTGCATTGTGCCACAATAAAAATGTTTTTGCATGTATCACTATAATATGGCCTCTTCAATTTTTTTGGGACTATACCAAGGAGCAATATAGGTGGACCAAATGATTTCTAATTTTATATTTTGAGAATTCTCCATACTGATTTTTATAGTGACTATTTTCTTTCCCATAAACAATATAGAGGGATTCCTTTTACCCTTCATCCTTGCCAGCAGTCACTGTTTTTTATATTTTTGACAGTAGCCATTGTGACTGGGTGAGATGGAATCCTAGTGGAATTTTGATTTGTATTTCCCTAATGGCTGAAGATATCGAACCTTTTTTCATATACTTGTTGGCCTATACTTTTTCTTTGGAGAACTATCTATTTAATTTCTCTGCCCATTTATTGATTGGATTATAATTTTTGAGTTCTTTGTATATTCTAGATATTAATTCTGTATCTTTGAAAAAGCAAAAATTTCTGTCCCAGTCTGTAAGTCGTCTCTTTACTCTGTCGATTATTTCCTTTGCTGTGCATAAGGTTTTTACTTGGAGGTAGTCCCATTTGGTGTCCCTTTATTTTTTATTAGTTTTATTTTTATTCTTTTGGTACCCGAAATGGAACTCAGGACCTTGCACTTGTCAGGTAGGTGCTGTGTCACTGAGCTACGTCCCTAGTCCTGACTATTTTTCAGACAATTTGACCCAGTCATTAAGCTGCTCACACTGTGCCACCACACTACTATTTGTTGAATCTTGACTTTATTTTCTGTGCTAATTTTATTTTCTTCCTATTCAGGAAGTCTTTGCCTGTGCCTATGGCTTTAAGTGTTTCCCCATGTTTTCTTCCAGTAATTGTAAAATTTCTGGTCTTTTTTGGGTGGGTGTTGAGACAGGCTCTCGTTCTGTGGGTCAGGCTGGCCTTGAACTCTATGCAGTGCTGGCTAGCTTCGAACTCATGGCAATCCTTCTTCTTCAGCCTCCCAGGTGCTAGGATTACAAACTTTTCTAGTCTTATACATAGGTCTTGATGCATTCTGATTTGATTTTAGTGCAGGGTGAGAAATGGAGATCTAGTTTCAGTTGTCTACATGTAGATATCCAGTTTTCTCAGTGATGTTTATTAAAGAGGTTGTCTTTTCTTTTCTTTTTTTTTGTTTTTGGTCTTTTTCTTTTTTATCAGTACCAGGGATTGAACTCAAGAGGTTGTCTTTTCTCCAGCTTAGTTTTTGGTACCCTTTTCAAAACTCAGATAGTGGGGCTGGGGATTTAGCTCAGTGGCATAAGCACCTGCCTTGCAAGCAGGCAGTCATGAGTTCAATCCCCAGTACCGATAAAAAGGAAAAAGACAAAAAAAAAAAAAAAAAAAGAAAAAAAAAAGAAAAAAGAAGTAACAAAACTCAGATGGCTGTTGGTACATAGGTTTATTTCTGTGTTTTCTGTTTTATTCCATTGTCTATGTCTGTTCTTGTGCTAGTACCATGCTGTTTCTGTTACTATTGCTTTCTAATATTTGAAATTGGATATAATAATGCCTGTAACCTTGCTCTTTTAGCTCAAAACTTCTTTACTCTGGGTATTTTGTGCTCTCGTCTGAATTTTAGTATTGTTTGTTCTAGTTCTGTGAATATTGTTGTTGGTGTTTTCATAGGGATCACATTGAATCTGTAAATTGCTCTTGCTGATATGGCCATTTATTTTATTTATTTTTTTGGTACCAGAGATCAAACTCATGATCTTGCGCTTGCCAGGCAAGCGCTTATGCCACTGAGCTAAATCTCCAGCAATGATATAGCCATTTAAATGATACTAGTTCTGCTGATCCATGAACAAGGGAGATCTTTCTATTTTCTTTTTTTTTTTTTATTTAAAAAAAATTTTTTTTTTAACTTTTTATTGGTACCAGGGATTGAACTCACGACCGCCTGCTTGCAAGGCAGGTGCTTATGCCACTGAGCTAAATCCCCAGCCCCAGATCTTTCTGTTTTCTAAAGTGTACTTTGATTTCTTCAGTATTCTGTAATTTTCATTGTAGAGGCCTTTCATCTCCTTGATTAAGCTGACTCCTAGGTATTTTGTATTATTTATTTGGTAGTACTGGGGATTGAACTCAGGGCCTTGTACATGCTAGGTAAGTACTCTACCACTGAGCTACAACCCCAGCCTTAGTATTTTATTTTTAAAGCTATTCTGAATGGAATTATTTTCTTTTCCTCATTTATTTCCCAGCAGGTTCATCATTGGTGAATAGGAAGTCTTAATTTTTGTGTGTCAGTTTTGCAAACTTGTTTTGTCAAGACCAAACAGGGTTTTGCTGTATGGTCCAGACTGGCCTTGAACAGTATGTAGCCGAGGTTGGCCTTGAATTCATGGCAGTCTTCTTGGCTCAGCCTCCTGATTGTTGGGATCACAGACATGCATCACTATGCCTGGCCAAAAGCATATATATATATATATATATATATATATATATATATATTTTTTTTTTTTTTTTTTGGTACCAGGGATCGAACTCATGACCAGACAGGCACTTATGCTGCTGAGCTAAATCCCCAGCCCCTAAAAGTATATTCTTTTTTTT